CTGGACCCAGTGCTGTGGGACCCCCATCCCCGACCCTAAAGTGAGGCGAGGATCCAGGTGACACACAGAAGTGCTGCATGCACCTTCCCCAAACCAAAACTCACTGCCCTCAAATACGGTTCAACTCATAGCGACCCTGAACTGCCCCATGGGTTTCCAAGGCTGTCTAGAACTCTACGGGAGTGTAAAGCCTCGTCCTTCTCCTGTGAAAGGAGCCGCTGAGTTCGAACCGCTGACCTTGTTGCAGCCCAGTGTGCAACATTACCTAATGAGGACTTACTCCTTCCCGGTCCACCAAGCACTTTCACGGGAGAGCTTGGTTTCCAGAGCCCCTTCGGCAGCGGCGCCACAGCCCCTTCCTGTAGATGAAGGCGCCCCCTTGAGTCTGGTCCTTGACTATGTTTCAGAACGCAAAAAAGGACAACAGGAAGCTTCATTCTAAATGGTGCGCTGTCTGTCACCGAGGAGCGTGCCTAAGCTGGAAGTCTTCTGAACATGGGAGCAGTACACGGGGTGATGGACTCCGTCACCAAGAGGGGTGTTTCCGAGCGGTCATGTGCCACTTGGCCACTCCTGGCCTGGAGCGACCCGTGTCCATCTCTGCCGGGGGTGTCCTGGTGGCACAGTGGGGTCTGTACACAAGGGGTTGACCACAAGGTTGGCAGTTCAAGCCCACGGTGGCTCTGCAGAGACAGATTGAGCCTGCAGGCTCCTGGGAAGACTTGCTGTTTGGAAACCCTATGGAAGGCCGCTAATGGTCGGAATTGACCGGTGGCAGTGGGGCTGGTTTGCTGTCATATTGCCGAAATGACTCGTGTCCTGTGGCACCTCTGCCCCCCCGCTGCTCCCCAGGGGCACCTTCATCGAATTCCGGAACGGGATGCTGAACGTGTCCCCCATCGGGCGAGGCTGCACCCAAGAGGAGCGCGTGGAATTCTATGAGCTTGACAAAGTGAGTCCCGTCCAGTGGCGGGTTTCTGCAAAGGAGCGCAGACACGCGGCTGTGAGAGGGGCGTTGTTCTCCCTAGGCGGCATCCTCGGGCCACTCCATGGACGGCCATTGTCTTTGTGTTCCCTCAGAAAGAGCGCATCAGAGAGAGGTTCGTCGCAGACCTGAGGAAAGAGTTTGCAGGCAAAGGCCTCACCTTCTCCATAGGTACTGGATGTTTGCAGGAGCTTGTTGTGGGAGCTGCCGGGGTGGGGGTGGGGTGGGGCATCAGTAGAGGTAGTCACCCTGATTTTCATCCACTATAAAACCGGCCCATCACAAAATGATTCCCAGACTCAGGGGGGGTGGGGGTGGGGGGGCGGGGTTGCTCCTTCCCACCACCATTTCAACTCCATCAGAAGAAGACAATTTGATGTAGTGTTGACACTCAAGCACACAGGGCCGTTCATTCAACCATTCTCGCTGTGCAGTCCAGCGGTCTTCTAGTTAGAGAGCCTCTCGCCTTTTCCAGATTGTTCCTCCCCCAGGATATGATGCGAACTCACCGCTGTGCCCCACCCCCTCCCAGCTTCCTGTCTGAGCTTTTGAGCTGCTTTTCCCAGTTGTGCAATTTCTTCCCTGTCCTTAGTCAAGATGCTCTGCCCGAAGCCTGGCACCCTCGGGAGACCCGTGTGGGCACAACTGGGTAGCACAGAAGCAGGACAGTGGCGTCCAGAGCAGAAAGCGGAAACCTCTGCCCGGTGACACATTAGACAGAAGCTGTGTCTGTGGTGCGGTTACATCTGTCATAGGACGCTTGCCATCTCGTGTGAGCACAAGAACATGGAATGTGCTTGTGATGCCGCTCACCTGTACCCACCCCTGGAAAGCACAGTGTCCTCGGTGTTGCGGCCCCCCACCCCAGTACCTCGAGGGGCTTCCTAGACCACTGTCCTGACAGCGGCAGATCATCGTCGTGGGATCTTTGGTGGGCACCCTGGGTTGGGACCACCTTCCTTTTTCCTTGTAGCCGAGCATTTTAAGTACTGTGCCACATGGCTCGGTCATGCGTTCTGGGTGGGCTCACACATGAACCAGGCCCATTGCCATCGCTCTGTTCCAACTCCCACAGCCCCACGACCACAGACATTTGAACCACAGGGGGCCTTCACCATCGGGTGGGTGGAACTTATGGGCTGGAGACCAGGAGAGGGGCTCCTGTCAGGTGGCAGGGCTACTCCTGACCCTGCTGTTCCCAAGACTGTCTTGGGCGGCGTGGATCCTGTAGACTGACTGGTTTCTCCTGCCCAGGCCCATGAGCTAACCCTTCCAGCCCAAGCTTTACAGGCTTCACGAGCGTGGGGCGAGCAGGGAGCCAGGCCTGCAGGCGGCTGGGCAGGCCGGTTGGTGCTCTGTTGAGGCTGCCCCGCTTTCTGACAGCACCTTGTGGGAGGGGGAGGGCTGCCTTTGGCAGCAGCTTTTCGGACCCCCCTCGCTGACAACGGCTGTTGAGATGAGCAGTGCCTGTGGCTCCCTTCCGGCGTGTTCCTTCCGGGCAGGTCCCCGCTCCAGGCGCCAAGGCCACAGCCCCTCAAGGCCACTCCCTTGGCCAAGCACCCAGGCACTGATGCAGCTCCCATTCTGGGAGAAGGCAGTGAGGTCACCACTTGGCCCTGGCCCAAGGGCCGGGCACGCTGTCGGGACCACATAGCAAAGTCGCCGTCATTCCTGGTCTCGAGACCATTCCACGCAGAACATGCCCATGTGCTGCCGTCAGTCGGGCACCTGGGTGCCACTCTGAGTTGCGCCAGTTTCCACCCTTGTGTGCTTTCTTCCTCCCCGCAGGCATCAGCTCTCTGCCCGCCAGGGCCCTAGCTCATCGTCTAAGGGTTGTTGGTGCCGTGGATGCACAACAGAGGGAAGCACTGACCATTGGTGCAGCACTGTCCATCCGTCACGGCTTTTCTTGCTTGCTGCCCCTCTGCTTTACCGAGCACATGCGCTCCTTCCCCGAAGTACGTGAGAGGAAGCCCCGCCACCCTCCTCTCTAAGGAGCATCTTCCAAGAAAGCCAGCACCCACCGCAGACATTTATCACTGGTTACACTAGACTTGAAGTCCCAAACTTACTCTGCCTTTTGGCGGAGGGGCGGGGGAGTACTCAGTGCTGCCCTGGCAACGAAACACTGCTGTGCTATGGCCAGTAGTCCAGGGTGAAGTGTGGGCGTCAGCTGCTGCGGCCCTCCTGGATTGCTCTAGCCCCACACTGGGTGGCACTGCCCACTTGGGGAAACACTGCACCAGACTGGTTGGTTGCCTTGTGTGTTTGAAGTGGTGAGTTCTTGGCCTCTCCTTCACTGTCAGTGCGCGCGCGCGCGCAGACATGCATCCATCCGTCCCCACAGGCGGCCAGATCAGCTTCGACGTCTTCCCTGAGGGCTGGGACAAGCGGTACTGCCTCCGACATGTGGAGAATGACGGCTACAGAACCATCTACTTCTTCGGAGACAAAACCATGCCGGTAAGTGGGCCGTGTTCCCGGGGCTCCTCACCTGGGCCAGGTATGAAGGGAGAAGGCAGCGATGGGCAGCACCGCTGCTGTCACCCTCTGCACAGACAATGCCCTGGGGGCCAGGCTGACCAGCTCGGTAGAGGACGAAAGCCTTTTCCGCTGGCTTCTGAATATTTCAACACTCTGGTCTTTGTTTATTTTAGCATGGGTGTGGGGGGACTTCCCCCCACTGTTTTAGGACCCTTGGTGGCACGGTGGTTGAGCACTGGGCAGTTAACCGTGGCTCGGCAGTTCCGGCCCACCAGCTGCTCGGAGGAGAGCTGATGCTGTGTGGTCCTATAAGCAGTTACCATCTCACAATCCTGTGTGGGATTGCGCCGAGACACACTCGGCTATAGCCGTGGGTTTGGCTTTCTGTGTGTTCCCTCCCAGAGGGTGCATCCAGGATGTGTGGCGGTCCAAGAAGAGGCGGAGCGGCCCTACTGGTGCAGGGATTTCAGCCACCCCCAGTCCCGGGTTGAATCCACTGGCACTGAGAGCAGAGCTGGGTTAAGGCTGGCCCAGAAGGAGGAAAACAGCCTGTGGCCTGCGTGTGTGTCCAGAAGCCCCAGGGCAGCTAGCGGGGTGCCCTGGGGAGGGTCAGAGGGTGCCGGCATGAGGTGCCAAGGGGCACCATGTATCTCAGGGCTGTCACCTGGAGAGTTCACTAACCGGGCAGGCCAGGTCCCTGTAGGGCACCCCGTTGAAAGCCCCTGCAATCACGGGCTGGTGACCCACTGCGCCCCTCCGCACCCACCCTTACCCTGCCCCTGCATGTCAAACCACACTGCTGTCCTTGGGGTCCGGTCGTTATAAAACCCAAACTCACTGCCATTGAATCAACTCCCACTCACAGATTTGCCCCAAGGGTTTCTTTCCAAGGCTGTACCTCTTCACAGGAGTGGATAGCCTCCACTTTCTCCCACAGAATGGCTGGTGGGTTTGAACCATCAGTTTGCAGTCCGATGCTTACATCACTGCACGTGTGTGGCCCTAAAAATGGCCTTTCTTCCTTGAGCATGTTGTGCTTTCTCCCTGCAAAGGGACTCGCCGGCTGTGTAGCGGTGCACAGGTCCACTGAGGCAGGGGTGGAGGGTGGGTTGGCTAACATGGCAGACGCTGTGGGGAACAGCCCCCCACACACACACAGGGCGGACACGCTCCGGTGTGACTTCCCTTTGGGCAGTGGCTTTCAGGGAGCAGAATCAGCCATCCTTCCATGCAGGGAACCCTTTGACAAGCATGTCACTTCTTGAAGCTTCAGGCACAGAGCACTCGGGACACCTGTGTTCAGCTCTTCTTGGAGTTCAGCGCTTGCCACCGGGAGAGCGGCTTCTGTGCACGTGGCAGCCCGTCTGGGCTGGCTTCCAGGGCACTGGGCGAGGCACAGTCAGGACCTCCCACACTGTCCTATGGCAGTGGGTGCCTGGCTGTGAGCAACCCAGAGAACAGGAAGAGAGGGTGGCAGCCCTGGCTTTTCCCTCCACCTCCTGCTCCGAGCTAGGCGGGCCAGCTGTGCCTGGGCAAGGTGGTGGGGTGGGGTGAGGAAGTCCTTCAGCTGTGGGCATGGGCTATCAGCGGCTCCTGGGGCGCTTTCTTGGCCCCCCAGGCAGTTGCGGCTACCCAGCAACCGAGAGTCACTCAGCATTCCCACTGAGGGCCATCCCGCAGGCTCCTGCTCCAGAGGAGCCCTGGGGTGCAGCAAGTGAGCTGTTAGCCCAAAGGTGGGTGAGTGGCCGTTCAGCGCCCGCCGCTCTGAGACTGACCTGGGGACCTGTTCCTTCCCAGGAGACGATCAATTCCTTTTGGTCACGGGGCTTGCTAAAAGTGGGGTAGACGGCTCCCAGCAACACCTGGCAGGACATGCTAGGGGGTTCGGGCACGGGCTCGCTGGGCATTGTCTGAGAGCATGCAGGGAAGGCAGTTAGAGGCTGGGGAGGCGGCAGCTTGCAGCACTCTGAGCCCTTCCTCCGTGTCCGGGCTCCTTGAGTCGGCCTCAGCACGGGGTGCGGCAAGCTTCTCAGTGCGTACAGCGGTTGGTGGCACAGGCAGTGGGGAGGCCAGCTCTTGGCTGAGCAGTGGCTACACTGGCTCCTGGAAACCCAGGCCCCACCTCACCTCAAACCACTCCTGCCCTCCTATCCCTTGTGACTTCTCACCCTGCAACCAAAGTAGACACTGGGCCCCTTGGGAGAGAAGCAGAGGCCAGCCCACACCAAGGGGAGGGCCGTCAGCCGCCGCAGCTTGGCACCCTTGCTTTGGCCTCTCCCTGCCATGCTGTGGGTCTGGTCTTGGGGGGTGGGGGAGGTCACCACGCTGTGGGTGTGGATCTGGTGTGTGTGGGGGGGTGTTAGCAGCATCCTTAATCTGCCGCAAGGGCCAGCAGCCTTTGCAGGTACGGGGGCCTCATCCGGTTGTCCTTTACCCTCGATACTTGGAGAATTGATGTGCTTATTAAACTGCACCCAAATGCTCACGGAACTGTGAGGAAGACAGGTGGAAACAGGCTAGCAGCCTCAACCCCTCCTCCCTCACAGATCCCCCGCCCTCCCAGAGCAGGGGATTAGGTGATGGGGTCACACACTGGTACTCACCTGTCCATGTGCAGGTGTCCAGCCCCACCTCCTGGTCTCATAGAAACTGTTTTCACGGTGCCCTGCAGTGCTCCAGGGCCCATCAGGGGAGTGCGACCACCCCCTGGCCCTTCAGCCAAGTCTCCAGGACACTGGACCTTGGATGTGGTGACTTGGGGGAGGCCAGGCGCCCAATGGGCCCCAGTGCAAATGCAAATCCAGGGTTCTGAGTGCCTGCTTCTCTGAGCGCTGTTGTCCTGGGGCGGGTATGTGTGGGGGTGGGCTCTGCTCGCAGGAAGGAAGCGTGCAGAGCTTCCCTTCCTGTTGTCCTGGCTCCCTCTAGGGCGGCTGCTCCTCGGGGCCTCACTTTTCCTGGTGCCCCTTTGGCTTCGCCACATGGCCCACCCTCAGCACGGGCAACACATGTCCCCACAGGGCGGCCTCGGCGAAGGGCAGGTGCACCAGCTGCCCCAGCCCACCATCCTCGTCCATGGGACTGGTGACAGGCACCTCCTGGCTGCTGTCCCCGCCCCTTCCTCCAGGCAGCCCTTCCCTAAGGCCTCACTGTCTCAGCTTGGGGGCTTCCAGGGACCAAAAACTAAGCTTGTTGCCATCAGTTCAACTCCTGTCCTCCAGGAGTGGCTGGTGGGTCTGAACTGCTGGCCTTGCCACTGGCAGCCCAGCACTTAACCCGCTGTGCCATTAGAGCTCCTTCCTTGGTGGTGCCCCAGCATCTCCAGATGTTCTGGTTGTTGCCACAGGCCCGTGCTGTGCCCGCCTTAGCTCCATTCCTGAATGCGACTGGCCCTTCCAGTAGTGCCGGCTGCCTGAGCTGCAGCCATGGCCCTCCTGGGGAGGCAGGGCCAGTCAGTCCTGCCCGAGGCTCACCTGCTCCTGCCAGAATCACCCACTCAGCTCCTACTGCTTTGTGAGGAAGGCTCCTCCCCCACTGGGGGCCACCCTAGGGAGCAGTGGACTGAGCTTGGGGGTGCTCAGGGCCATGACTCACAAGCCACTCCCCAGGTCTCTGGGTGGTTTCCAATCAGTAGCCGTACCCCACCCCACCCCACCTATAGTCAAGTGCTTAACCATTTGTGCCCCCCATGCCCCACCAGCTGTTAGGAACAGGGTGGGCTCCTCGTCCCACTTTCTGAGGAAATCCCGTGAAGAGCGGGGGCCCGAGTCACAGGGCCCTGGCTGTGGCAGAGATGGCAGTGGGGCTGTGGTGTGTGGGCGGGTGTGGACGTGGGGTCTCCTGGAGGTGGGGTTGTGGAATGCAGGTGCCCAGGGCCCAGCCAGTTGAGTGGGTGGACACTGTTAAAGCAGTGGGGCTCTCAGCTGCCACCTGTCAAGCTTGGTCCTAGCCGCCCCCGTGCTCAGAGCATAATAACGGTTTGCCTGGGCGCGGGGTCAGGAAGAGGGCCCAGGCATGTGTGCGTGCCAAGGCACTTCTGCCGGAGAACTAGCAGCTAGGTGATGCCTGGTGAGGTGGCCCTGGATAAAGAGGGTGACAACACAGGCATTTCCTGTCTCTGCAGGGCGGAAACGACCATGAGATCTTCACAGACCCCCGGACAGTGGGCTACACAGTAGCGGCCCCCGAGGACACGCGCCGGATCTGTGAGGGGCTCTTCTTCTGAAGGCCTCCCGCTGGCCCCCGGGGAGGGGGCTTTCCGGTCCCTGGTCTAAAGCACCCCCGCCCTGGGCTCACCATGCTGGAATTTACCGTTGAAGTCACACACACGGCTGGGTGGTAATGCTCCTGAGGAGTGGACAATGCCCATCCCCACTACAGATACACCACTCCCTCCACCAGGACCAGAAGGCAGGCTACCTGGACAGACCACCTCCTCCCATTCTGCCAGGCCCCTCCCCACCTACTCCAGGGTCCTGTGCCAACAGACCAAACAGGCATGGGGGTGGGGGTACAGGCCACCCCAGCTGAGGTTAAGAACCTTCCTGAGATGCAGCCCTTTCTGTGCTCTGGCTGCTAGGGGTGTCCTGGGGCTGAGGTTCTTTTCTGGACCTGGCCCCACTTCCTGTGGAGGAGGCAGTCCTTGGGGACAAATGACCTACAGTGACTCAGGCGTTGTTGGACCTCACCAGACATCTTCCTGGTGGCTCAGCACCCTGTACCCCTCCTCCCCCAGAACCCTGCAGACAGGACACCCCAAGAAAACGGTTCTGGGTCCCAAGCCTCTCCCAGCCTAGGCTTGTCACTACATGAATCCAGTTTCCTCCAAGCTCTGGGCAGGGGCAGGCCCTGGCCCCCACAGGACTGCACTTCCTCAGTAGTCCCTAGGACAAGAGTCCATGATCGGTTTTATACATGATACTGTAATGACCTATGATCAAAGAAGCAAATTAAAGTGACTTTATTTTCCACCAAAGGCCAGACTCCGTCTCTCACTGATGTTGCAGGCACTGTTTCTCATGCCCACCAGCTTCTCCACCTCGGCCCCCACTGCATACGTGACAGGGACGAGTGAGAGCTGTGTGGGCCACTGCTGGTTCCGGTGACCACCTAGGAGGCACCCACCCCAGCCACTTCAGATGAAGGCTCCCCAGTAGGGAAGTAGAGAGCAGAGCCATGCACAGCCTGAGACCCAGCTCTCAGAGGCAGCACAGAGCCCGGGGGGCGGGGGGTTTTCCAGAAGCAGCCCCACCCACCCATCTCCCAGGGCACCTTAGGAAACTGGAAGCTGGAGCTTGCAGTTGATGGCATTAACATTTGCACCCCAGGGCTTCCTGGCACTGCCTCTTAGCACCCTACAGGTAACACCCACAAAAGAAACCATTGTCTGTCTCTGGCCTTCAGGGTCTGAACCCAGTGCCATCAGTCAGAGGCAATGCAGGGCTCCCAGGGACACGCTGGCAAAAGCACCCAGGGGCTGGAGCCAGGTGTCTATCACTTCTTCCTGTTCCTCCACCTCCCCTGAGGAACTGCTGGACCAGAATCCAGGCCTGGGGCAGGCGCACCCTGCCGTAACAGACTACTGCCACCGTCCATTGTCTTGACACCCCAGGTCCGGGCAGGCCCTACAGCCCACCAGACAGACACCAGGGCTCCTGCTTCCACCTGCTCAGTCGGTCACCCGGGTGACAGGTTAGATGATCCCGTGGTGGTTTTCCCTACCCCCACAACGGTGAGAGTGCCCACCCCTGCCACAGAGTTACGGTGTGAGCCTCCCTCCTAAAGCCGAAAGGCCACCTGAGGCACAGTCCCTCTCTGCCTCACCCGGTACCTCCAATCTCCTGCCCCGTTGGGCAAAGCCCATCCCCAAGGTTTCCTCTCCAGGCCTGCAGCACCCACCCGGAGAGGCGTCACTCGGCACTCATCCACCAGCTGAGGGCTTTGGTGGCAGAGGCAAAGCGTTGCCTGCTCACCAGAAGAAGGGCAGTGGGTGGTCTGAACCCACCAGCCACTTGGAAGGTAAAGCAGTTGGTAAAGACTGGAAAACCCTGGGATGGGAAACTACTCACTGGCAACTAACTGGTTAATGGGGGGGGGGAATCCTCCCAGGGGACCAGGTCACGGTGGGAGAGGTCACCTGGCACTCAGGAGACAACTGTCCCTCCCAGAGTTTCTCCACGGTGGCCCAGCCTCTTGTCAGAACCCCACCCCCGTCTTACTGAGCCCAGATCGGCAGGGTGCACACGGTGGTGGGGGGACCCCGGGCAGCTTGGTTTCAGGAGGTGCCCTTACCTGTCGCCGGAGCAGACACTGCTCTCTGATCCCTGCATGTCCACATGGCAGTCAGTCAGCCAGGAAGAAGATGTCTGAAACTTCGGGGCCCTGGGGCCCACAGCTTCAATCCCAGGTAGGGGAGGGGCGGGCAGAGACCTCAGGGAGCCGGCTGGGGACCTGCCCCAGGCTTGACGGGAAGGCCACCTTTGTGACCCAGCAGAGGCAAGAGGGGCACCACCCAGCCAACCAGTGGCCACAGAGTCGCTTCAGACTCCCACCAATGTGCCCCAGACAGGGTTCAAGGCGAACCGCCAGGCCTTTCTCCCCAGGCACCTCCAGGTGCATTCAGACCAGCGCCAAGCGCAGAATGGGCTCAGCCACCCAGGGCACCCTCAGGGCTCCTCAGTGGGAAGCAGTGACCCCGAGGGCCGAGCCCTGGCAGTGGCTCTGGATGTGGAAGTGGGAGCATGCGTGTGGGCGCACACGGGCAGCCATCAGCTGACACTTCTAGCCTTCCTTTCACAGGACGGCATCCTCTGAGCCCAGGTTGTTGCCCTCCTCTCCCCACTCCGGAGGGAGGCCCCCCACCCTCGTTCTCAGGTGTCCTCTCCTCCCGGGTAGCGTCCAGGTCACGTGCTTTGAAGCATCAGCCAGCTCTTCCCGGTCCAGTCACAACAGCAGAGAAAGGCCCCAGAATCGCTTACAGAAGACACCCACAAAGGTGGACCCTGTTGCTGGCCCTAGCCAACTGCCTCTTCAGAGGGAAAATGAATGCCCGCATTGCTTCACGCAAGCTCAGAAAGGGCACGGGGATGACCTTGGCCTTGCCTTCGACACCCCCCGGCTTCCAGGAAGCCAGCTGTAGCTCTTCTCCGAATCCTTCTGGAGGGAGGCCTGCTTCCAAACCCAGAAACACGCCCTCCCCACTGCGTCACACTGTCTCCCCCCAACACCCCCACCCAGAGCAGCTACAATCCAGCCTTCCTCCACCAATGGCTACAAAAAGGCACCCCTTTCCCTCCAACCCTCACCCCCCAGCTCCCTTCACTGCAGTTGAGCCCAGAAATGAACCACCAACAGACCCCACCCCAACCCCCAACTGTGGAGAGACAGAGGAAGACTGAGCAGAATTGCATCCCAGAAGCGGCACAGACCCCACCCCACCCCAAGTGGCAGGCCAGACCTTGGGTTTCTGAGCTGGCACACCAGGAGAGGAGGAACCCCTGCCCCGCCCACCCCCCCAGGCCAACAGAGGGGCACCTCTCTTTTTCACATGCCTTTAATGCTTTTCAGATGGTCAGAGATGGTTATCACAGTCAGAGTTTGCACTGGGGGCTGAGAGCCCACCAGCCCGTCCCTTCCACCAGAGAGGGCTGGGCAGGGGCCAAGCCGTTCCAAAGGTCCATCGGTGCTGTCACCGCCTTCCCCGTCCACCTTCCCCAGCGTCCCCCACGAGCCCAGGAGAAGGGGCACTGGCATGTCCTAGGAGCTGACCACGTGCCCGGACCAGGTCTCGTGCTTGGTGCCAGGGGCCAGATGGGTGATAACCACCTCTACGGCCTGCAGCTTCTCGTTCTTGGGCGGGATAGAGCACATCTTATAGGTAACCTCGTCGCCTTCCATGGGGACGTACTCTCCTTCCACGCTGCAGGGATGGGACATAGCAGTCAAGGGCCAGCCGGGAGGCCACTGGGACACCCTCCCCCAGGTACCAGCCCCTTCCTCAGGAATGGTTCCTATGCCTATCCACCAGGGCTACTATGCCTTGCTATTCAGTGCCAGCTCTGTGATGGCTGGATTCGTGTTCTCAGTCAACCCAGTCAGTGGTATAGTGGGCTATGGAGTTGCTGACCACAAGGTCAGCAGTTTGAACCCAACAGCTGCCCCCAAAGAGAAAGCCGAGGCTGTCTGCTCTGGTAAAGACTTAAAGCCTGGGAAACCCCGAAAGACAGTTCTACTCAGCCCTCGAGGGTCACTATGAGCCCCAATGGTGTGCCTGTGCACACCACCTTGTGTGGAAAGTCTCAGCAGATGGGCTTAACTAAGGTGAGGTCGCAGGGTGGGCCCTGATCCAATCAGACTGGTGTCCTTCCAAGAGGTCGAGGAGAGACCCTAGAGACACAGAGGGAAGGTGGCCAAGGCAGAGAAAGCATCGAGGCCCCTACAAGCCCAGGAACACTGGGACCACCAGAAAGTGGGAGGAGCCTGCAGGGGGCGGGGCCAGGGCAGAAGGCAAGCGCTCACAGGCACATGAGGACAGAAGGCCAAGGGGAGGAGCCGAAAGCCGCTCAGCCTGGCCAGTCAGGCCAGGCCAAGGCCAGGTCTCCTGAGCCTCAGGGTCCCAGACACTGAGCTGCCTCTCTACCCTTGATGACTCAGCAGGCCTTCCAGAAAGCCCCTTTGTGCCCAGAGCTAGGTGCAGGCTGCGTGCTCTCCCCCACCGCCTCCCTGAGAGGGTCCTCTTCCTCCGTAGGGTGAGTCACCAACTCAGGCCCTGATCAGTAGGGCCAGCGAGCTCCCTGTGAACAGGCTTCTTCGGACTGGTGTTCAGAGCTAATCTCCTGTCCTCTTTGATTTGGCCACTAGGCAGCTTAGGTTTAAGTTGGCAGCAGAGACAGGCACCCCCATGACTCCACCCTTCTTCTTCCTCCGGCCCCCCTCCCACGCCTGTGTCTTTCTTATAACTCATTTTTCCTCAGCACCGTGTGTATCTCTGTAAAGCACGGGGAGTATTTTCTGGAAAGACAACGTGTACACAGAGCCACGCATAAATGCTGCACACGCATCCACACACAGGACAAGTCAGGGGCTGCAGCCCCTGCCTGCTCTGTCCTGGGGGGCCTCCCTGTAAATACTCCAGCCTGATCGGAAAGCCCAAAATCCATTTTCAGGGTCCACACACAGGTTAAGTCTCTGGTGAATCCCCTCTGACCACAGTCAAGGGATAGAAATAGCCTTGACAGCAGACAGAGAGGACTGTAAAGTCGATTGTGGCCGGTGTAATTAGGTTAACACTGTACCACCGTATCATCTGATCTCCCAGTTGACCCATATGAAATTTGTTCTGGTTTTTAATATTTCCTGCTTTCTTTCTGATTGAGGCTTTTCCTCTTATTTTGTTATTATTGTTGCTGAACTATTGACGTATATGATATATGAGTTCTATGTCAGTAAAACTATTTTCCAAAAAGGCTGGCCTGCGATGTAACAGTGCTAGGAGAAGTAAGGGGCCACTGAAGCCCTCTGTCAGTGTGCTGTGTGGGCTGGGCTCAGAACTGTGTGCACTGAGTGGCCGTGAGCCATGCACAGCCCGTACACGTATCTCCTTGGCCTACCCAATGGGGCCGCTTGTTCATACACACACACCACTTACACCTTCTCACGCATTTACACACACACACACACACACACACACGCACAGTGACAGCCCCATTAACTGTCACCCAGCCTCAACTACAGCAAAGCCCACGGCCATGAAGTGGATTCTGAGCCTATACCGGGTTTCTCAGGCGACATCTTTACAGGAACAGATAGCCTCATCTTTCTCCCAATGAGTAGCTCCTACTGGGTTTGAACCACCAACCTTGTGATAGCAGTCCAGTGCTCACCCACACACAGCACCACCAGAGCACTCGACCCCACTCCCCACCCCCTCCAAGCATGCTGTCACCAACAGGGACAGGGTCCAGTGACACACGCCCCCCTCCCTCCAGAGAGCCAGCCCAGAACACCGCACCCCCCATCCAGGCCCTGACTCACTCAGAGATGTGCAGGAAGATGTCGGGGCCGCCATCAGCTGGGGTGATGAAGCCGTGGCCCTTGGACCGGCAGAAGCATTTGCAGACGCCTTTGTAGACAGGACCTTGTGACGCTCGCACGGTCCTGACAGGGAAGAGTAAGAGGAACCCTGCGCCCCAATGCCTGCCCTCTAAGCTAGCTTCCCTCCTGGGGTGGCTCCTCCCAGCGCCCCATCCACAGCCGTGCCTTGAGGAGTCCTGGCCAGGGCCACCACGCTGTCGCCAGTCTGCACTGTGCAACTCTGGGAGCCGCTCCCCCAGAGTCCAGAGGACCCCACTCTGAAGACTGACTCTCTAGGGGACTCTGGCAAAGTCAGGGCCTTGGTCCCCCCAGCTGGAAACAGGGTGCTGGGCTAATTCTAAGCACTACCCAGAGGACTGTGCCTCTACTGCCTGACCCCAGCCCTGTCTGTGTGGTAATCCCCAAGGCCACCTGCCACCCTCCAGAGCCCAGGGTCTCCCACTTGTGGCGCCCGGCTCACCCAGCACTCGGGGTCTGTGCAGCCTAGCCCAGCACCCTCAAACTTCAGAGGGCATCTCCCCAGCTTCGCTACCGTCACCCCCACGCTGCGCAAGGCTCCTTAACTGACAGACGGACCCGAGGCCTCTCAGGGAGGCCCCTCCCAGCCCAGTCTGAGACTCACGCAGAGAAGGTCCTCGTCCTGCGGGTGGGCAGCGGGCTGGGGACCACGTTGCCTCGCAGCGGGGATGGTGAGCGTTCTCGGCCCCTCGGGTTCTCCAGCAGCCCAACCGAAGCCTGGTGGGTGGGGGGCTGCGACGGAGGGGGAGGCTCGGATGACATGGTGGACCTGGGGAGACACAGGGGGCTCTCTGGGGCTCAGGCCAGGCAGGAACCTACCATCCGAGACCGATGCTTCTCCAGGGAGCCGGACAATGCTTTGGAATCCGCTGAGTCCCCGGGCTGAGGCTGCTTGGCCATTGACATCCCCGTGGCAGAGCCAAGCATGGGAATGCCAGGGCCACCCATGCCGCCAACAGAGGCTCCAGAGGACAGGGCAGAATGGAAGGACAGGAAAGCACTGTCCCTCAACATCGCTAACCCCTTAGGCATTTAGGAATTACTTGTGGGAGGGAGGAGAAAAGAGAAGTAAAAAATAAAACCCCCCTGCCATCCAGCCCATGCCGACTCCCAGTGGCCCTATAACAGGGTAGAACTGTTCTGTTCTATAGGGCCTGTGAGTTTCCGAGACTGTCACTGTTCACAAGAGTAGAAAGCCCCGTCTTTCTTCCAAGGAGCTGCGGGTGATTTTGAACTGCTGACCTTGCGGTTAACAGCCCAACAAGTAATCACTACACCACCAGGGCTCCATCAGGGAAGGGAAAATAAAGGACGGAGGGGCTGTGGGCAAACTATTCCCACAGGTGCTGACGCAGCTGCAGAGACCAGGTGGAGAAGGGACTACACTGCATGTCCCAGGCGAGTTCCAGGACACATTCTAGAAATGCTGAGGCCCCGGGTCTGGGGAAGGGTGGGCTATTGGTCAGGGATCCCAGGGAGCCAAGTCTTAAGAACAACTGGTATCTGTCCTCTCGTGTAGCTAGAGGGAGGCCTCCCAGGGGGTCGCCTGGCTCCTAGACACAAGGCTGCTATGTCCACCCCACAGCGAATAAATGGGTGGGCTCCCATCTCTGGCGGTAGAGGCCCCAGGGAGGCCTTGGCCTCGGCGGTGGCCAGGCAGGTGGCACACGATGGGGGGAGTAGTCCTTGCCCAGGACAAGGAGGCATCTGAGCTCAGAATTCAAGCAAGGTCACCTCAAGGCAGGGCCAGGAGGCCAGGGCCAGCAGCCAAGGCCACTCAGCATGCTCACTCTGCTCACCCTCCGGGTTCCCAGATCCTCCTAAAAAGCCCAGGAGCTCAGGCAACCTGAACCCCATTTTGCTGCCTGCGCCACCCCCACCCCCACCCCCAATAGTGACCCTATGTCCCCAAAACCTAGCAATGTCTGCTCTCAACCCAAGGCCTTCAAGCCAGGCTGAGTCCTCGGGCAAAGGGTCCCCGAAGGGCAAGCTCCTTCTCCACATTCCCCACATGCCCCTGGCAGCCCGGGAAGGGAGTGGCCGGCCGGCTGGTCTTCTGGAGGAAGTGACACAACTACCTCCTGTCCCGTCTCGCAGCTGCGGTCAGGGAAGACCGAGAGGCGGGCCCCCACCTCATAAAGGCCTCGCTGTCCGGCTAGGGGTTTAGGCTTCCAGAATGACCCAGAGCTCAGGTCACAGAGTCCCGGAATGTTCTGAAGCCTGGGGTTCCAGGCAGGGGAGAAGAAGCTCCACCTTGGCCCCCATGGCGGCCAGTGGAGGCTTGATGACTAAGGGCCAAGGGCCAGTTCCTTTACTCCTTCTACCCAAAGTCTGTCCCCGACCCTTCCCCAGCTATTCCTCCAGGGTCAGGCGCATCGGACTTCAAACCCCAGGGCCTGCCAGCTGTGTGACCTTGGGCAAGTTACTTAACCTCTCTGAGTCTCAGTTTTCTCCTCAGGAAAATGGGGGAGTGGTAATGGTCCCAACCTCACACCAAGAAAGCAGAATGAAATGATCCACGCTAGGTCCTTGGTGCGTGTCCAGCCAGAACAAGTGCCCCGTGGCTGTCCACTAGTGGGTAGTCCACTAGTCCATAAGGGGTCCTGGTGGTGCTATGGGTTAGGCACTAGGCTGCTAACTGCAAGCTTGGAGGTTCAAAGCCACCAGCTGCACCTTGGGAGAACAATGAGACTGTCTGCTCCTGTCTGTTCTTAGTATTGCCTTGATGGCTGTGGGCTTATTAGTATAATCGCCATCAAGAAGTCATTGTCAAATCTGTCCCCAGTGGCAAGTCCTGGTGATCGTGGAGCCAAGAAACAAGCAAGTAAACAGACAGACACCCAGGATCATCAGAGACTGCTGTTCCAGCTACAGATGGTCACAGGGAGTCAGGCAGACAGCCACCACAGAGAGCAGGGCTGTTGGGAGCTGGATGGAACCGAGACGCCAAGTGGAGTGCCCCCCACCACCCCACCATCATCCCAATGTCTGCGAGGGGTGCAGTGTGGGCCAAGGGTCAGGGCAGAGAGAGCCTGCTCAGGAATCCTGCCTGGTCCCTATCATCCTCACCCTCACCCATCTGTCCCCAGACTCCTGGCTGCACCCTTAAGCAGGTTTGAATTGGAGCCCCTCTTCTTACCCCCCCATCCCCCCTTCACCCTCCAAATGCACAGTCTCTCATTAGAGCCAACGAGTGCCATGCCCGGTGGGGTCAGGGGCCCAGCACCAGGTCCCTAAAGCCCCGGAGGCTCAGTCCAGGGGCTGCCACGGAGCAGCGTCTCTGGCACAGTGCAGAGAATGACCTCAACATTCCTCTGGAACCGTCACTCACTGGTACTTACAGAGCACTTGGTATGCCCTAAGCACCTTGGAGACACAGCTGTCCCATTCACAGGCACACTAAGTCACACAGGTGCAGACACGTACACATGCATGCGCACACATCGTGTGCCAACATAGGTGTGCAAGCATGCACATAAGTGTTGGTGCGGACACACCTGCACCCGATGCATAGAGGCCAGGAGCAGAGCCACCTGCTGGGGGTGGGACCCAGCAGGAGGAGGAGGGGATAAAGCTTACACCCCTTTCTTTCAGGTTCTACGCACTCCGCCTACATCCGGAATCAGAATCTACATTGTTACAATGTTTCCTAATGTATCTGGTAAGTGGGCATCTGGTTCAAATAGAGGTCTATCTGGCGAGTATGCAAATTCCCAGCAGGACTCAAGCCAGAATGACAGGTTGGTTCTCAGCCCTGGAGGAGGAGGGCTAGGGCAAGTCAGGCTGCTGTACCCACAAAGTCAGGTTGCTGTACCCACAACCAGCTCTTGGGGCCCTGCTGCTCCTGCTGGAAGTAACTCCCCACCGGACGCTTGGGCATGGTCCAGGTAGCTGTCACTGTACACAGACCTGGCCTGGGAGTGGCCCCTGGATGAGGCAGGAGCTCCCTCCCTAAACACCACAGCTCCCTTCAGCAAGTTGGGGGTTTGGGGTGGAGGCCACTCTAGGCCACATCCCCTAGGTCCCGTAGGCCTCTAGCCACAGCCCAGGTTCTGGCCGCAGTGCCAGGGGTGTCCATGTCCACACAGGTGTCCATGTATGTGCCTGTGTGCACACATGGAGGTGCATTATCTACCCAGGACCCCCACACACACACACACACACACACAAACGCATGCCACAGGCTCTCCTGAGGACAGGGTGTGTGTGTGTGTGTGTGTGTGTATGTGTGTGTGTGTGTGTGTGTTGGGGATGCCATGTGTGTGTGTGTGGGGGGGGGTGTGTCTACCTGCTTCATGAGCAACCCTGGGCCACTGGTTATGTGCAGGAAGTGATGGACACAGAGACAGTGGCACTGCTGCCCTCCAGAAGCCTCTGAGGGCAGGTGGAGTGGACCAGCAGTTTACACAGCTCAGCACCTGGGTAAACTGCGAGGCCGAGTCACACCCAATAAATAACAGCAAGAGCAGTGCATGTGGGGCAGTAGAGGGAGGGAGGAGGAGAGGGGGCAGGGGAGGGGAGTCTTGTGGGGAAGGGTTGCATTTTAAAAGCAGAAGCAGGAGGACCTTAGGAGGTAAACAATCCCCCCCCCTCCATCTAGTGAGTGGAGTGGGGGTGGTGTGGGGGCCCAGGAGCCACTGAAGCCCCCTCCCCCAGGAAGACATACCAGCAGCAGGGCCTGCAGAAAGGGCAGAAGGGGACCTCCGCCCAAGACAGCCTGGGAATTTTCCACAGGTGCCTACAAGTCCTCTGGGAAGGAACCTCCTGCTCACCTCTTCCCAGGTACCCAGTCTGAGAACCCAGGTCGCGCTGGAATCCAGCGCTTCAGGGTTCTCCACTCTCTCCACGCCGCCCCGCCCCCCCCTCCCTTTTGGCCCCCTCTGCCCCAAAGGCCCACCCTACCCAGAAGCAGCGCCAGCAGCTGCGTACACCTTAGTGAGACAGTTTGCAAAGGCTTTCTGGAGGGGTGACAAGCAAGAGTTTTTTTCAGGGTGGGTGCTGCGAAGCCACACCCTCTCGTCCGGGTCCCCCTGCAGAGTGAGCTGTGTGGTTTCCAAGAGTCTCTGTAGCTGTGGGACCTCCAGGCTAGGAGCTGGGGGCAGGCACCCTGAGAAACTGCCTGCCAACTTCTGGGAGGGAGGGGTCCAGATTCTAATTCCACAAACCCTCACCCCAAGGTTGCGGAGGTGGGGGAGGAGGGCTCGGTAGGCAGTCCAGGCCCCCTAACTCCATGAGCCCTGCCTGAACCTCTTCAGATGGAGCAGGTGCAACCCCTGCCCGAGAGGTGCTGGTGGGACCTGCCACTCTGTGTATGGACAACTCTGCCTCGGTGGCAACATCACCAGATCCCGGTGAGGGAGGTAGGGGGCAAGTGGGGAGAGGGAAGCCGGGAGTCACAAGTGGCCTGGTCTGTAAACTGAGGCCACAATGACACAGGCCCCATAGCCTAAGTGGCACCCTTAGCTGGGCAGAACCCCCCCCCCCATGTGTGGGCCTGAGGGTAGGGGGCACCAGTGACTGGGCAAGCCTTGTCCATAGGCCCCTGCATTGTTCTGGGAACAGAGTGGGGCCTGGGTGCGGAGAGGGTGGCCTGGGGCTGGCGGGAACATGTCCTCCAGAGTGAGAAGGCATCTGCCAGCAGGCCAGGGGCTGCATGGCCCATGGAGCCCAGCGGAATGGCAGAGGAGCTGCAGAGGTGTGGCCCAGCCCCTCCCGAGGCCAGGCCTGGCCGGGAAGTGTCCCCGCCCCCTGGGGTCCAGGAGTGCCGGGAAGAGGGCGCCGGAAACAGAACCAGCCCAGCCAGGCCCCGGGGAAGCGACTGAGACAGTGAGCCCTCCCACCAGACTCCCATTAGCTGCTGGCCGGACACGCCCATGGAGTGAGAGCCAACTCTGGCCCCTCTGGGGTCAGAAAGACCAGCCCCTCCCCTGGCAGGGGTGTCTACCGGGGCTCTCCCACTCCCTCCCACCATGCACTCACCGACCCTCTATTTTCCCCAGGGCTTGAACACAACCCCTGATTTTTGGTCTGGACTCTGCCCTTTACTGCCACCCCCACGCCAGCCCTCTGTAGCCGCTGGCCAGTGACCTCCCACTCCTTGCCTCAGTGCCTTCACCTGTCCAGTGGGACCAAGTAACATCAATGCCCAGAGCGGCCCAAGTAATGAAATTATGCTCCCCCAGCAGCTCCGCAGGCCTGGGGCCGTCTGGGCCACTCTCCCATGGGCCCCTGACCGGCAGCTGGGGCACAAAGTCTGACTGCCATTGCAACTAGCCCTGGGGCAGGACAAAGATGGTTCCCTTCCCAGCACACCCCCAAACCCTACCACAAAACCCCAGGGCCCTGGACCTGCTACTCAGAGACTGCGGACAGCCAAGGGAGCTCCGGGGCTGTGGGGGGCAGGCCAGATGTTCGACCTCACTGTACACAGAGTGGTAGAGACCCTAAGGATGCCCCACCCAGCCCAGATGGGGCAGCCGGTTTTCAGGGAAGGGAAATTGTTGTGCAGGTGTTGGAGTGGAGCAGGGATGGGAGGGGGCAAGACCGGGCGAAAGCGGCCCAGGAATAGAAATAAGAAAAACTGAAAAGTATCGTCTTTCGGCCTCACCGGCCCCTCAAGTCAGGAACTGTTTTATCCCAATCTACTGTTGTTAGGGGCCCAGAGGTCTCCGTGATCTCCTGTGACACAACTGCCCCCTTGGGGGTTTGTTTTTATTGTTGTCTGGGTGCAAATTTACACAGCGAATGCGTCTCCCATTCAGCATCTGACACCTTTGTTTTCGTGAGCTTAGCGGCAATCTCCTCAACGGAGCAGCACTCCGCCCACTTCCTGCCTGGGTCCCCCATCTTTGTCTCCACTTTCTGCTAGCGGAGCTTTGGGGAAGGTGTGTACCCTTTCTGCCTCACACGGTTGTTTTCTACGGAGAATACATACACCCCCTGGATACACCCACTTAAAGGCGGGTGTGGTGTTGGGCTGCAAGGTGACTGGGGTGGCGGGGAGGGTGTCTGGCAGTCGGTCTCCACTAGTTCCCTCACTCTCCACAGACAGGTCAGGGCGTGTGGTCTCCCGCTGGGTTTTCTACCCCTCGTAAAGGAGCCGATCGATCACCAGGTGTTCTCCTTCAAACCGCCAACACCTACATTGGCTGCCGGCAGGAGCCATTGGCTCCTACGGGCTCTTCATCCCAAATCTACAGGTGGGGAAACTGAGGCTGAGAACGGCCTCCTCTATTTGGTAATGAGCCCACAGCTCTGACAACCCGGGGGTGGGAGGGTGCCTGGAAGATAACCTCCCTTCCCTCCCCCCACACCCACACACGCTCTACAAAAAGACACAACCACAGAAGACACAACGCGCAGAACACAGAAGCTGTGGGGCCAGGGGCTGCCTTTGGAAAAATAAGAAAAGAACCCGGTTTCCCGCCTATACAAGCGGCGGGGGTGGGGAGTCCGGAGGCAGGCGAAGTTTTCCTCCGCCGCCTGGGGAGGCGGGGGCGGGGGGCGCCCATCCGGGCGCAAACAGCCCGCGAGCGCGCCCCAGGATCCGCCTCCTCCAGACGCCGGCCAATCAGCGGCGACAGGGCAATGCCCCTCCTTTCTATCGCCGGGATCAGCCACCGTCCGGCCGCCGAGCCCCCAGCAAGCGCGGCCCGGTCGGAGTGGTGGGGGGACGACCCCTAACAACACCCAGCGCCCCCGCCCGCGGCCCCCCAAGCCTGCCCAGCCAGCGGGCGGGCGCGACGGCCCGGACGCCGGGAGGAAGCTGGCCCGCGCGCGCACACTACACTGGTGGCCGAGAGGGAAGTGCCGCCTGGAGTCTGCCCGCCGCGCGGCCAGCTGGTGCCACACCCACCCTCCCAAGGGTGCTGCCCGGCTCCTCCCCGCAGGCCCAGGGGCATCTCCCAGGGGCTGGAGGGCCCTGCACGAGGAGGCATCAAGAAAAGGTAGCAGCCGCCCCATCCCTGCGGCTCCCGGGGCCTCGGGCCGAACCGCCCCACACGCCCCTCCAGGGTTCCCCAAAAGCTCCCTACCGGATGCTCGGCTCCGCTCAGTCAACTGCTGGACTCCGACTGCAAAAGCCAAGGGGTGGAGGGGCGTGGTCAGAGAGCGGGCTCGCTACCGTCCGGGGTACGCCCCCTGGGGCTTGGGCCAATGGGAGCTACGGTCTGTCCTCTGGAAGGCAGAGGGCGTAGCGGGCTCACCGTGGCCCCGCCTTCAAACCCGCCCCCTGGAGCTCCCCGACCAATGGGGCGGCGGCCGGAACCCGGGAAGGACGGAGCGGGGCGGTGCCGAGCGGTCCGGACGTTACCTTTGTGTGCGCTCCCCGGACCAGCGAGAGGTGGGAGGCGGAGCGGGGACTGGCCGCTAGCCCCTGGAAAGTGGAGGAGTGACCGGAAGGAAAGAGGAGAGGGAAAACAAGCAAGGACCTAGAAGGAGGGAAAGGATGGAGGAAAAGGGAAACAAAAATAAATGCAAAGAAAGGAAAACAAAAAGAGGGGGTAAGCTGTACATTTTTTAAAATTTCCATTGTCTTTGGGAGTTAGCTTCCATTTCCTAAGAGCAGAAAACTGAGACACAGAGTGACTTACCCACCCACCTGCATCCCCTGAGCATGAGGCCAGCTTTGGGGACTCAGGTACAGGTTGGTATTTGAGGGGCCCAGGATGGAGAGAAAATGTCCCACTGCGCTCCAAGAGCCACTCGGAGGTGGGATTCGGGGGTGTCAGTCCTAGAGCCCATCTGCCTCCCCTCCTTTCTTCTTCTTCTTCTATCTGCCTCCCCTCCTTTCTTCTTCTTCTTCTATCTGCCTCCCCTCCTTTCTTCTTCTTCTTCTATCTGCCTCCCCTCCTTTCTACTTCTTTGTCTTCTTCTTCCTTCTCTCTCTGTCTCTGTCTCTCTCTCTCAGGAATGGGACAACAACACGTGATCACAGGGACAGAACAGAACTGCCCCACAGGATTTCCTACACCACCATCTTTAGGGAAGCCCACCGCCAGGTCTTCTCCCTCGGAGCCCCTGTTGATGGGTCCCACCCACGAACCTTTCAGTTACCAACTGAGCGAGCGCTTAACCATTGTGCCATGAAGGCTTCTTTGAAGAAAAGGTAGCCTTCAATTATAAGTGTTTTGTGTAAAACTTCATAGTCTGCTAAGAACCCAAATTCCAGGTCACTAGATTAGGGATAAAGGGGGTTACCTTCCCAAATGCCTACAGGAAAATTGGCTGTCCATGCCACGTACAGATAAAGGGGTTGGAAAGAAATCAGGCACACTAATCAGACACATGGGAAAATACGGGGCCCACACTCAATGCTAGGCACCAGCGACACATCACAGGTATGCCTACACTCAGCCAATACTCTCAACCATGCCTCCCCAGCCAGTGTGGCTGGGAGGAGACAAAAGCAGGCCACGGGCTCTTTTCTCCCTCTTATTCCAGTGTGCTCTGCAAGCTGAGGATGAGACTCCTCCCACAGGCAGGTACACCTGCGTGCCCCCCTCACAGCCTGCACATTCCCTGGGGATTTCTTGCTGGTGGCTCTGCATGCTGGTTCCACGCTCCTGTTCCCATCTTCATTCCACGTGTTTTTCCACGCTCCCTTGAAAAGGCCATTTGCAGTTGCAAACTTTCCCACGGCCCCTGGCACGCAGCCCTGCACACTTTCTAGAGATCGCATGGACTTTCTGAGACTGTACTACCTGAAACTTCCCTCTCCCTCGTAAAAGTCACGGACTTACAAACGTGCTTCTGCCGCGTGAATTCTTTCAGTGTTGGGAAGCAAGAATTAGGGGAAACCACTCCAGAAACTTAGCAACAACACCACCACCCCTAAAGTTCTGCCCCAAGGCTGACTGTAAAAAGCTCTGCACAAACAGGAAAGCCGTGCCTTTGTCAGAAACCAGCGAACCGAGGACAGTGGACCACGAAGGAATCGGCGAACCACGAACCATGACGATTGAAAATGACTGCCCGGAGCTCTCCGGAGGCCAATTGCTCAGGAAGACCTCAGCCTGTATTGTCCACCCCGGAGGGGCCCAGCCCCTTCATTTCTGTTCTGTGTAGAAGGGCACTAGTCCTTGAACTCGGGGTTGCTGCCTGCACCCCGGCAAGAAATCCACTGTGCCGTTTGTGACCCACCTGGCCTCGTGACTGAGTGGAGTCTTCTCTCAACCTTACTTTTTGTTTTAAGTCCAGTAGAACCATGAAGCCCTGCATCCCAGTCACCCAGAGAGGACAACCAACACACAGAAGAGGGGGCTACCTTCTTTTTCCACCCCCAGTCACCCAAGAGCATCAGCGCTCAGGTCGAGCTGCAGATAAACTGGCTCACAAGGTCGCTGTGGGTGGAAAGGGGTAAGCTCACAACACCAGCAGCAAGGCCAGCTCAGGATTAAGGAAGGCAGGCACAGAATGGTGGAGCAGCGCACTAAGGAAACTCAGAACATTGGGTATTTTGCATTTTGATGCAATATTTTTTAAATGAATGCCAAGCAAAACGGTGATGGAAAAAATATCGTGGGTTTTTTTTTGTTTTGTTTTTAATCATTTTATTGGGGGCTCACACAACACTTATCACAATCCATACATATATCAATTGTTGTCTTTTAAATCATTTTATTAGGGGCTCATACAACTCTTACCACAATCCATGCAGACATCAATTGTGTAAAGCACATTTGTACATTCATTGCCCTCATCATTCTCAAAATATTTGCTCTCCACTTAAGTCCCTGGCATCAGCTCCTCGTTTTCCCCCTCCCTCCCCCCTCCCAAGATCGTAGTTTGAAATAACAATGCAACCCTGTCATGATTGAGTCACTGTAACCTTAACCAGTGCTATTTAGGGTCAATAATTGCAAGGCCAGCCTTAGACCCAGGACATCCCTAAAGTCTTCTTCACGTCCAACAGTAGTTGATGTTGGTAGGTGCCCTCGGGTTGGCACTGACACCTGGTGAGCCTGTGGGCAACAGAAGGAAACACGGCCGGTCCTGCGCCATCCTTATAATGTCAACAGGTCCAAGGTAATGAGGCAAAGTTCTCCCCATCTTGCTCCTCAGGAGCGTCGGGCCGCACTTCTTGGCAGTTCTTTGGCAGTCCAGACACTTTCAGTACCTGCTCCAGCACCATCGTGCACATGCAGGCTTCTTAGTGAATGCCCACCTTTGACATGCATAATGGTTACAACTCATAAACGACAACCATTATAAACAATGGTCTATCATTACTGATAGAGTGCTGTCTTCAGCATTGTAGTGGGTTTCCTAGGTTTCCAGCCACCCAGTGCATGAACTCAAGTGTCGCACACATGCAAGCATCACCCCCTGGGTGGGGGCAGGGGGGCGTCCTCATGTGGCAGGAAATACAGATTCCTTAGCAGTGTGTACTATCAACTTTAATCATAAAACAATATGTGATGAACAGAATTGCAAATTTCTTAAATGAAGGATTTCCTAGATTCTGAGAACACTAACAACAAAATGGCTTTGTAAAATCTTTCTATTTTGAATCACCACATTATCAATAACTGAGTGAAAGCCTCTTTTGAAAATGTTTCTCCTTTTCCTTTAATTATAACTTCAATCTCAACCACAATTTTTTAACTATATATTGTGAAATATTTATTTTAAATT